AATCTTTCATTATACAAGTTACCTGTAATTATCTGGTGACATTGTTTTATTTTCCTGTGCTTTCAAGGTTTTCTTACATATAATCTTTAAATAAAAAAAATGTTTGATATTCTTACATCTTGCTACAGATTCTTAATTCCATTTTGTATCTAAACATGTACTGAGCCATTCTAAGACATCAAGATACCAGAATCTAAAACCTTCAATGTTGGTTCTGACTCCTTTTAAGGAGTTCACATCTTTGCTCCCTTCCCCAATATGAGGTTAGGCCAGATTCAGCCATTTGACACTCTTCCACCTGTTTTTGCTGCCTCACCAAAGTTGCCTCATGACTGCTTCTCTTTGTGCAAGGGCCTTTCAGTTAGTTGAATTGTTAATATTACCGTAAGTTGTGTCTTTAAGGATATTCTACCAAATTAGACAACATTAGTGAAGCTAAGATGGCTAATACTTAATCCTACAATCAGAATGTCTGAATTACAGCTTAAAAACTATTTAAAACAAACAGACACTGTTCTTCCAGGGATGCGTTAATGAAAAACTGACAGCACTGCATACACTATACACACCTGCCATCATTTTATATGTGCTAAGTGTGTTTTGAGACATGCTGTCAAAAACATCTCGTTCTTCAAATAAAGTACAGATATCCATGCAAAAACTAAACTAGATTGAACTCCTTTACTTAAGTAGTAGTATTAAAGTACATGTTCTACATGTACTTAAATACAAAATTAAAATGAAGTTTTGGTTTCTGAGGTACAAAGTAACTTCTTAAATCTTCTATGCACAGAATATTGGTTAATTTTCCTCTTTGCTGACTGTGTTGAAAGATAAGACACCAAAATACCGACTTGCTCTGGTTTTGTCCCAAATTTAAATTCAGACACAATAATGTTGATTAAACTGTGCAAAACTCCTGCACAAGCAGATTGATACTTTTAGAGCTCTAGTATTCCATAATTAAAGTTGCAAATAGAATATATAAAATTAAAATGAAACACCAACCATAATGTGGAAATTAAAAATCTAATAAATGGGATATGAATGGGGATTGTCTTGTGTTTCTCCGTCATGCTTCCAAGCCCCCCGTCTTCATCCGTATCCCTATCAGTGTTGGAGCTGTTATGTGTGATGTATTCAACATGTCTAGAGGAAATAAGGACGTTTAGAGAATGTAAGGAGGTGGAATTATAGAGTATTTGTGTTTAAATGTAGTGAGTAAATATAAAAAGTCCTCAGATATATAATAGAAAAGTATAGATATTGAAAAAAAACTTGGCTTCAATAAATGAACACCCCTGAAGATGTCAGTGTAGCTTCCAAGGCTAACAGAAAATCAGAAGATAGAGCTGGTTGTATTGCTTATTTGGTCTCCTGAGATCGTTTAATTTCTCAGTTTATCTCACCTGTGAGTCTGACTGCATCTGTCCCTAAGTTGGCTGGCACAGTTATCTCTTAGTCTTGATGAATTACAAAAGACAAAAAGTTTATTTAAATATAGCATTACATATTTTGTTCTTGTATACTTTGGAATGTATTTTATTGCATGTTGCCATCCCAGTAAAGACTATTTTAAAGTAAGGAATCTATAATTTTTCCCTATTCTTCCTTTTGCACTTTCTTCGGCTTTTTGACTATTTCAGCCAATGTAGCGAGTAAATTTCTCTGCTGTGAGATCATTTAAAATCAGTCCATCAATCATTCACTCAATTATCATTTCCAACACCTGATCACATCTTCAGCATTCCCACAGTACCTGAAATCGAAGGATTGACGGTTCAAGCCCCGACTCCGACTTTCAGTGTCGTTGTGTCCTTGGGCAAGACACTTCACCTGCATTGTCTACTGATGGTGGTCAGAGGGCCCGGTGGCGCCAGTGTACGGCAGCCCCGCTTCTGTCAGTGAGCCCCAGGGCAGCTGTGGCTACAATGTAGCTTGCCATTATCAGTGTGTGAGTGTGTGCGTGAATGGGTGAATGAATGTAGCGTAAAACTCTTTGGTCAAGTCTCCTGACTTGAATAAAGGCGCTATGTAAGTACATACCATTTACCATTTAGTTTTGCATATTGGGTAAAAAAAGCAGAAGTTGTATTAAGTAAAAAGAAATCAACTCAGAAGGTTCAGACAGTTTTTATAAATTTAATATATCAATATATAGTGATTTATCAACAGCTTGATTTCATAGAAACGTGAATGTGACCATTTTGGCATAAAGTACAGAGATGTAAGTAGAGAAGATGCTAAAGATTACCCCCCACACCCCCCAACCCCCAAGTTAATCCCCCCTGGATCTCCCACATACACACAACACGGAGAAACAGAGTGAAAGTATACAGGAGCACAAAACAAGGCACCAATAAATTAAAATACCCCCCTCCCTCATTAAAAAAAAACCCTCAAACACATCAAAATTAAATTATAAGGAATTAAATACTACAGTCTGCTGTGCTGTTAAAACCTAAAACAAAATAAAACAAATGGAACAAACAGGAGAAAAAAAGTAAAAACACTTTGGCAGATTATTAATTTCTAGTTACAATCAAACATTAAAGAAACCCAGTGTTCATGTGTACAAATAAATTTATATATAGTCTACACTCCTTTTTAACCCCAGAAGTCTATATACACCTTTTTACAGATACATTTCAAATATTATCAAAAAAGATGTTTGTTTGTTTTTTTGCTTTATGAAAAGGTTTTATTTACATTTCATGATTCAAAACCATTGGTCTGTAACTGCCAGATCCCAGCACCACCCCACCCACAACCCCATTATTTCCTCTCCCTCTTCTGAGTATGCAACCTCTTTACACAGTGCAGAAGGCTTCTTGAAAAGTTTTGTGCAACAAACAGCTTTTATAAAATGCCTGTCGTGTGGAATGGACGCTGAATTTTCTTTTACATTTCCTTGCAGGCAATGACAATTTTTAGAGAAAATACAGGCGAGTATTTCTTACAAAAGCTGGAGAATGTCTTCAACCACAGACTGTCCAGACAACATGTGTCTATAATGTTTTATATCAAAATGAAAACAGATAACCCCCCCTCCCCCAAAAAAAAAAACATCCTTCATTGAATACTAGCTGGTAGAAAAAACATGGTGAACAAAACACTTCCCTTCAAGTAACATCAAGTTGATCAACTAGGAACAGTGGGAATGAATTGGCAAACACTGAGGATTCACAGTCCAAAAACAAACCCACGTCATAAAAAGAGGAAGCTGTGGATTAAAGAAAAGTCAACAACAAGGTCAACGAGAGCTAAAAGCCAGCCGAGTGGAGTCAGTTTCCTTCCACAGTTCAAAATTGTAGCTGGAGGCGGAGACTCCTCTTCTGGCTGATTGTATTGGTCTGCAGGTTCTTATTCAGGGAGGAAGTTTTATTTTCAGCCCTGAGGCTTTTTTCCAGGTTATTTCTGGGGAACTGAGTTATTTCTTCCAGTGCTTTTTAATCTTCCAGTGTATTCTGTTGACAAAAAACTGAGAGCTCTTGATGGTGAAAGAATGTTTGAGATGAAGATGTATAAAAGAAACCCAAACATTTTCCTGGTGAAAGTTGCTTGCATGATAAGGAAAGAGACTGTTGCCAATGCATGAGATGTAAAAGAGCATGAACAGGTAAAAAGAGGAGCAATCTTAACAAGCCCTCTAGTGGATGATATACCTTAGAAATTTTAAGAAAGGAGAACATGTTAAGATAAGTTTATTGACTCTGTGCAAAACTTAATATTAGTCATCAGGGTAGTTAGTAGTTAGTGTGATTAGCTAATAACAGACAAAATCAATTCGGTGGAATTGTAGCTGAAAAAAAAGGGAAGGCATATGCATTACAAGTTGTTAAATAGATAAATTATTAAATTATTAAATACAAATTCACAAGATGAAATTAAAATTTAATACTATTTTTTTCCAAGAATGTATTCAATATTGATTCATAACCTTGCTTTTATTTTTGGATACCCTGTCATCTAGAAACTATCTGCAGCAGCAAATATGAATTTGCTGTTTCACCTGCTTCAACAGTAGAAATATTAATTTCTTGAGTGAATTATGAGATGTTTTTCACATTTTAGCAGAAAGGATCCAAATCAACCGGAGTTACACCAAACAGCTACTTAAACTGCATATTTCAGGTTCTCAAAGCAGATGAAAGCTGTGGTTACACTAAAAAACGCAGAACGTTACACACAAAAACTACTAACCCAAACTAAAGAAGTCACACAACACAGTACCTGGTTTACAGCAACTAAATGACCTCCGAAAGCGCAAAGGCACAAGCCAGAATGAAATGTTATAACCATAGGCTGCTCTTTATGGGTGAACTAACAGCGAAATTAGAAATAATGCTGCCATTTAAGCACCAAATTTTCTTGATGGTCCCTGTTTGTATATATGGTATGGCTTTGTGGCACAAGGTCATCTTTCCCTTTCTCCCCCCTCTGATAATATGAACAGCGAAGGCAGGAGTCTGGTATTTCACTGTGTCCTTCAGTGCAATCGGCTCGACTGGAGGTGACCACAAAGTAGAGCGGTCAATCTGTCTTTTACACTGTAGCAATAATAACTTTCCCACAATGTCACGCTCAGGCAGCTAAATAAATAAGCAATTTAACCTCATAACTGCAACTTCTCAGCATGGAACTTCATTATTCCTGAGGCGAACAAAGGCGAAAAAAGGAAGGAGCTAGACTCAGAGCTGACTCAGCTTAGGGTGCAGTCAACAGAGTCTGAAACTAATTCAGTATTAAAAATGACAAGGATTTCTCACCTGTGGCTCATGCCCTCTTGCAGTCACTGTTCTCCTTTTAGCACTAGAATAGGAGCATGTACTAATTCTAACACTACATTCCTTTTAGTTTACAGTTCTTGTTAGAAATGTCCTTGAATCAATCATAGATGACCACAACCTTTTGTAGCATCGGTAATAACAGTTCTGCATTGAATTGAGTTGCTCTTCTTGGCAGAACCCATAATAAAGGGCCCCTGAAGATAAATATTTGGTATATCTCTGTTTATTTGAGATCATTGCCACACTAGAACACCTAGATTTAAGTTTTGACCATTCTGCACCAGTACTAGCAATAGACTCAGCAACATGAAATCACCACCATGCATGATAGTTGGTACAATATTACATATAGTTGATATAGTAGTTGTTACAATATCATTAGATCAAACTTCTTTACATTGTGGTCCAATATTTATTGCATCACAGCACAACAGAAAGTATTTGGCTTTTGTAAAGTTTTTGTAGACCTTGTTTCAATTTAATCCATTCACTTACATAGCACCAATTCATAACAGATGTCATCTCAGGGGACTTTACAGAGATTTTCATGTCAGATCATACAGTCAGATTAGTTAAAATTTTTCTATCTAAGGAAAACCAGCTGATTGCACCAGATCATAGAGTCAACAGCAATCCCTCGCCCATACAAGCATGCATGTAGCGACAATGGAGAGGAAAAACTCCCTTTCAACAGGAAAGTCTGTTAGTTTTTGAGCAGGTGATGCTTTCTTGTTTTGAACTCTCCCAGTCTAAATGTATGCTAAGTTTAGGCTTCACTTTCTTAGGTCTTGTTAGTCAATCAATCTTGTTTGTCAATCAAAATTCATTTTGAAATGGATAAAACCTGCTAACTTTGATGCCTGAAATGGGTCTGAAAGCCCTAATAATGTTGAAAACATGTAAAGGAAGCATGGAAGTAAAGTCTGCGTGAGGAAGCCAACCAATTCAAATAAATTCAAAAAGTTCTATCAAAAAGAGCAGCTCGAACTTCAACCAGAAGCATGTCTATAACTGGACAGGAATATGCATAGCCATTCTAAGGACGTTAGTGTTGGAAAAACACAAAGCAGCACTGCTAGAAATTCAGGTAACTACAGCACCTATTAAGCTTTTAAGAAAGCATCTCCAAGTTGTTTTTTTTTTCCATGTCATCCTCAGCTGGGATTATCAGTGACTTAAAACTCAAACAGCTCTACAAAAAAAGAGAAACAAAATTATTTAAATCCCTGAATATAAACTGTTTGCATTACATCTAAAAATCGAACTATGTCCAAAATATTGTAAGTAAGCAAAGGAAGACTGAGTGTAATTTTTTTGCAGGTTAACAGGGAAAGACATTCTGGTCCTACATATCTAAACCAAAAAAAGGTTAGATTGTATTAACAATAAATATGGTAGAGAAATCTTTAATGGTTAGATAGTAAAAAAAATGAATGATGTCCCATATAAACAAGCTGATTCTTGTAAGTGCCAAATTGCCATTTAATAATCTCCTATGGTTATTTACAACTGGAACATAAAATGAACAATTACAACTGTTTTCAGGGGGCATAAACTGTCTGATTCAATGGGCTGGAAGTGCATCTGAGGCAGGCAAATGGAAGATAACCTCTTTACGATGGCTCTTACATTCCTTCTCCACTCATCTCTAAAATCAAATCAGTGTGCCAGAATCAGCAGAGCCTGATATTTTACTGATCTGCTCACAGAACCATAGTGAACATTCAAATGAGAGCAGTGAGTGATGCTGTTTATATTTGGGATTTTTTTTTTCTGCATCATCTCATCTACCTGCATCGACATGAAGGTGCGGCAGCTACACCGAGGAAACCAGGGTCGTCTGGTCACAGGGAGAGGCTCAATATAGCCAAGCTTTAACTGGTATATTGCATTGTTTGAACCAAGTTAAATAAAGGTAAAAAAAAGCAATCGATTGGGAGCTGATTGGAAGACAAATACCAAAAGACAAAGAAATACTAACCTTAAAACAGATCAAATTATAATGCTCCTACAGTTATGGCACTCTGAAATCAAAATATAGAAAATAATTACAGTCTTTTAAAATCCTAAAATATAAATAATGTCTCGTGCATAAATCCTTTAGAGTAGCAGCTCCATACGTATATCTAAAACAGTCACAGGAGGTGGAAAAATTTGCCAACACATAAAAAAAAAACAATGAACCAAGAGATTCGTAAACCCTAACCTATCACTTTTAATCAAACTGACCAAGCTCGTTATTGACTCTGTGCATACCTCCCATACAAAGAGATGGGTTACCCACAATTCATTGCCTTTTCTGTCCTCCTGCTTTTTATCTTGAAGTACAACAGTCTGCAAGCACCAATCAGGTCATTCCTTGACAAATAATAATGAAATAAATTAACCTTGCCACTCTTTCACCTAAAAGTCACTGCCAAATATCTGAGCAGCTCCAACCTTTTTTTCTCTTTACTATCCACTTGACTATATTTAGCATTACCAAATGTCAGTAGCAAATAATAGATGGCATCCTCCCTTCAAACAAATAAGCTATGCTATTGCTAATGTTAAGCCAACCAGAGCAAATGCAACATCCTTGCCTTTTACATCTTTAAACTTGATCAATCAAATTGCATTTACGACTACGCAACGACAGATGCTGGTTACATATTTAAAAGGTATAAATAAATGAAAACAATCAAAACATGAGCGCTCCCCATATACTTCTGTAGTGGCCAAAATTAGCCTTCTTACTGTACAATTTTCAAGTCAGGTTAGTGGGAAAAAATATCATCTAGCAGCATTTCTTTACACCACTACTGTTAGGAAGCATCAGAAGAGGGAAAAGAGGAGTGAAGCAGAGGCAACTAAGCTGACACTAATGGATGTAGTGTTAGCTAGTGATAGCAAGTAGGGAGGAGAAGAAATGCATAGGTCATCCCTGCTACTTGTAAAGGAGGAGGCAAAATGGTGCTTCCATTTCATTCTCCTCTGCGTTGTACTGGCCTCATTGTAGTGGTGCGGAGGCTGTGCTCAGAGAAGGAACAGGAGGGCACTGAGGGGGGTGTGTGTTGGTAAGCAGGCTGCATCCCCCCTCATTAGGGATAGCCATCGTCCTCCACACTGAGTGCCACACGCTGTAAACAGTAGATAAAAAGATGGTTACCAAGGCAGGCTGAAGCAGGGGATGAACAAAGCGACACAAGTGAATCTATGAGGAAACCTAAAGAAAAATGCAACCTTTATCTCTCTTCTGGTCTTTCTTCTCAGAATTATACTTCCCCTCCCCAACCTTCCCTAATGGTCTGACCCCCCTTCCTTCCCTGCATGCTTGTACAGTAGATGAGGAATGCAGGATTCTTGCTTACAGCTGCAAATGTCTGGCCCATATTTTAGCAGCCGGACCAACCTCCAACAGCACAGGCAATAGAACTTGATGAGACACAAGGAAAAATCTCTAGAGTAAAAATGAAATACAATAGAGGTATTTCTAAATAATAATTTAAAAACTATTAAGATGGGCAGTCGCCTCTCTCCTCCTTTTCACTGAACGTTGCTCTTTGTTCGACCTTGAATCTTAATCGTGCATCTGTTCTATGTCTGTCTGTGTGTGTGCTTCTAGAGAGTCATCGTGCCAGGGATACCCACAATTCTTTCTATTTTCCCCTCTTCTACTACAGAGCACTACAAAGAAATCAGTGTTACCATGCCAACCGATCAAGAACATCACTTCCTTACCCCTCAATAATTTCGTTTTGACCGCCCTTAACGGCAGTATCCAGATAAACCAGGGCACACTATATAAAACAAGCATCCTTAGTGTCATGATTAGGCATTTTTCAACAAACCTGTGGTTCTCCCATAGGTGCATCCTGATAAATTAAAGTTTTTAGTGTCAGTAATTGATTTTAAATAGTTAGCCTTGTATCATATAGACTCATTACACTCAGAGTGACATGTTCTTAGTGTTGATGTTTTTTTTTAAAGACCATGGTATGAAAGCAATTAAATCACAACATTCAGTTTATTTGAACATTAGAGTGTAATAAGAGCACCTATATATGCATAAATTACTGAAGCCCAGTCTGATTTGTTAGGAAACATCAGTTGGTCTATATAGTCAGTTTTTTGAGTTTCTCAATCTCTTGTCTTGAATACTACATAGACTGTCTATGGGATTCAGGTAAAACCTCTTTGCTGGCCAGCCAAGTACATTATATCATATATTTGAAGAGCTATTGGTGCTATTGGCCTTTGGGACTATGCCAGGTCCAGCTGGAAAAGTAAATAAATATCTCTATTAAGCTTGTCATCAGAGGAAATCACAAAGTGCACTAAGATTAGCAGCTTAGTTCACTTTAGACTTGATAACACATAGTGGAGCAGCATCGGCAAATGACACGACTCCTTAAATCATTTCTGGCTGTGGAAAGTTATAGTGGACTTTAATCACTTTGGATGCTGTGCCTCTCCACTTTACCTACAGATTCTGAGACTTTGATTGTTCCAACGTTTTTCTCCTTAACAAAGGTAGGATTCTTCTAATATCTCTAGTTAAGCATTCAGCTGACTACATTGTGAAGATAAATAATAAGGAATAATGCTGGTGAAGACTCTCAGTCATCCAGGTCATAGTCATTCCAAAAAAGTTTAAATAAACAATCCACTGGACTTTGTTTCCAAGTGTGAAGAAATTTCGCTTCCCATCCAGGTAGCTTTTTTTAATTCAGTATGTCAGAAATAGCGTTGAGTTCAAGGTTTTTTACAGTAGCCCCCAAAAAAGGTGTTTTTGCTCAGAAAACATGCAAATTGCAACAGAAGAAATGGGTCCACCCCTTTGGAATGAAAAACAAAGAGCAGTGACCTCCTCGGGACAAGACTCTGTGGTACATCTACACCTTATGGACAAAGGACATTTTTTTGAAGAGGAGAATGTTGACATTTTGGACAAAGAAGATAGGTGGTTTGAGAGGGGCGGGAAGGAAGCCATCTATGTTAAGAAAGAAAAAACAACCGTAAACAGAGGGAGTGGACTCAGATTTAAGCTTTCAAAAACCTACAATGCAGCAATTGAATTGATCCGTTCCCACTATCATCGCAACCCCCACTCCCTTTACAGGGGAACAAAAACCCTTGCTTATTCAGCCAGGCCAACAATTCCCTTTAAAAACATCCCTTTCAGAGACATAGACTGGTATGGGGCATTGCAGGCTAACAAAAGAAGCCAAACAACTCCCATTACAAAGGGGTGGACCCGTTTCCTCCATTTCAATTTGCATATTTTTTAAACAAAAACGTTTTGTTGGGCTACTGAATAAAACCTTGAACTCAACGCTATTTCTGACATTAGAATTGAAAAAGCTTCCTGGATGGGAAGCGAAATGTCCTCAAACTTGGAAACAAAGTCCAGTGGAATGTTCTTTTTTTTACTTTTTTGTAATGATGAATAATGATTCCAGAAATATTTTTTAATCACACCTGAACTTCTGACAGAGCTTGTTTCAAAACCCTCTTAAGGCTGCGGTCATTGCGTTGCAATTTTGTACAATTTTATACAACCATAATGTTTCTCTCAATTTTAATTATATTACTACACATTGACTGCTCTGCACAATCAGGTAGATTTGTTTTTAGTTTACTCTATTTAGGGAGGCTGTTAAAGAATATCCACAAGACAACTGTCATGTCAGAGCCACCTTTTTAACATAGCCGTGACTCGTCTGCATTATAAAGCCTTTTAACTGATCTAGTTCTTTGATCACAGAGGAAAAGAGGAATTAAAATCATGTGTGATGAATAAAAACACATATTTTGCTTTTTAATAAAAACAGATACTGTAACATTTTAATAATTATCAAGATGCATCTGTCAATTGTTAGCTGGATTACTACGGAGTATATCTGAATGAGGAAGAAAGCAGCAGGCTAGCTTTTGGACTGTGATGATTGTTACTGGGAAAGTACAATCAGTTTTGTTTTAGCCTGTCTTTTGCCCTGATTTCGTCTTCCCTTATGCTTTAAGAATTAATTTAATCAAGACTAGAACAGTTGAAAAGGCTTTGAAGTCCTTTATCCAGCTTTCAAAGCAACAGGAATTTGATTAACTCTATCCTGATAATAATGTTCCAATAATATTTAGCTAAATATAAACAATATTTAAGCTCTGGATTCCCACTGTTTGGATAGTATTTTAATTTTGGTATTTTTCATGTTAAAATAATTGTTCACTGACCATATGTGGAAAAAAATATGGTTAATATGCGAAAATAAAATAAAAAACAACAATCTACTGCCCGGCCCTAGAAACCCCTGCAGGCAACAGTTCCTTCTGTTTAAAGATGAGTTTTGACAGGAAAGACATTTGATAACCAGGTTGATGAACCATAACATAAAAACAATGAGATGAGGGATGTTCTTGGGAATCTTATTTAATTGTAATTGTTGCTTAATGAGAAGAAAAAAATGCTAAATAGATGACTTAGGTATGTCTAATTGGTGCTCTCAGTGATTTAAAATGGTATGTGAGCATCTGGAAGTGTGCATGTGCGAGCCTGCTCTTTTTCCCCACTTGGAAACCTTGTGCATCATCCCACTTGCCAAAAACATTTCAGACCTCCATTTTTCCACTTGTTTAACCCTCATTTGGCACTGGAAAGCATCGGTGCACCAGAGTACCAATGAGAGTTGCTGTCTGTGACGCCGCCCCCTAGTGGAAGCGCTATGAACGGCTGGCTGTGGCTGCCACTCACTGGCGGGTAGACGTGGCCAATGGAATCGCTGTGCCGCCCAATGTGGATCTCGTCGTCATCGTCCTCTGTTGTTTTGCGGTACACGGGGTTGTCGAAGTTCATGCTCTTGGTGTTTTTGCGTCGCCAGTTGCGCCATATCAGGTAGCCGCCGGTGCAGATCAATCCGATGACCACTGTGGCAAGGATAGGGACTGCATGTGTTTAACACACACACAACAACAACAAACGGCGGGAGCGTTAACACAGCCCAGGGGACACGGAGCGGCACTTTAGGCACTAACACACACAATACAGCTTGCAGCATTTCCATTTCTTAGCTGAAGGCTCATAGTTTTCTTTATTTTCTTTAAAATTTATTCTTAGAAGGGAAGTTTATCCCAAAACTAAGCATCACATTATCTATTTATATATATTTTTTCATAAATGGTATTCAATGTAACATTTGATCAACAATTAGATAAGGTTTGAAGACTAGAAAAAATGCAAAGAATGAATATTTTCTAAAAATAGCACTGACCAAAAATAAACAATTTGAAAAATCTGAGCAAAGACTATGAGCCTCCAGACTCATTACCCTACAGAACAGAGCAAACATATCTAAAACCACCTCTAATTTCTTTATATTCTGCCACCAGAGATCCTGTGGACTTGAGTTGCGTTTTCATACATTTTCTGTCCAATTTTGACCAAAACAGGAATTGATATTGTTTGCTTAGAAATTGACACATAAAGAAAGAGTTTGAGCCAAATTATAATTAAGAAATAATAAAAAAAAGTAATGAAATACATCAGAAATAGGAAATATAGGTCACTAAAAGCTGACTGGATCAGTTGTTCTTCTGCTGGTAATGTGATGTGCCTGAGACTTTTACCTTACAGCTCTTTGTAAATAACTTAACTAATTATCTGTTTTAATTCTACAGTGCCTTCAATAACTATTCCTGTGTATTATTATTATTATATATTTTTTTACATTGCATTTTGTACTATTGTTACCAAAAACTCTTGTACAGTTTATGCATTTTTATGTTCTAATCTGTGCCACTAACACCAAATTGTTACCTTTTTTGTGAATTGGAAGGAATAAAAACAAACAAAATAGATCCTGTATGCATTTGTATGTGACCAGCTTCCATGCTGTTGCAGAAACTACAAACTGCTTTTTTTCCACTGTGCAGAGGTGTCTTGTTAGGTTGTTTGTTTTTATATTTGTATTTCTTTTTACCAGAAGTGGAATTTTTCTATTGGATGTACAACTTTGGTGTCATCTAACCAAACCCCCTCTCTCTGTCTTTAGGTCTCTTACATGGCTACAGCAAACCAAAACGTATATCTTTAAACCATGATGTTGTTCTTTCCATTCCATTCTAAAGGTGAGATTTGTGTAGGATTAATAGCTGTTCTCCTGACAAACGTCCCCACCTAAGCAGTGAATCATCACAGCCCCTCCAGAGGGCTTCTTGGTTCCTACTCTAATAACGCTGTCATTACCAGCCTAATATTTGAGGTAGATGGATGGGTCTGAGTACGTTTGCACTTAGCCTGTTTAACATATGGAAAACATATTTCAATAAAAATTTCAATGTAAAGAAAATATATATAGCAAATACAGAAAATACACCATCCACCAAATAAAACATCATGAGTTTTTTTTTTTTTTATTAATGCAGTTTTAGTCTACAGTTGTGCAATAATGTCTATTTTTGGATGATAAATGGCTAAATGTGCGCTGTAATATTCTCAGGATCACATTCTCCATGTGTTTAACCCTCACCTGTCTAGTGCATACTTTGGTACGATGCTGATTTATGATGCTATATTTATACTGAGATTAGGTTTCACACCAAAATAAACATTAAAAAATAAGTGACTTCTGAGTGGCTGCTCTGGATTTGATTTATTAGTTTGGACTGAATACAAATGCATATATGAATTTTAAGATTTCTATGTGAAAAATAGTTTTGAAAAGTACACATCATGTTTCTTTCATGCATCATTAAAGCACTTCTTTGTTCGTATTACATAAAGCTTAAAATAAATGGCCGAAGTTTGTGTTTGTTAAGTTTGTGAAGTTTGTGCTTGTGTGGACAAAACCTGCAAAAGTTGAAAGGGGTGTGAGACAAATATTTTAGATTATAGTAGTGAATACTAGTGTTTTTTAAACATGATTTGTGTGTCAATTGTTGATTAATCATAATCAAATAAATCAAGTTTTAAATAAAAAGAGATAATTCTTATGACATTAGGCTAAACAGACAGAAAATGAGTGAAAAATGCAACATGACCAAAGAAGAAAATTTTAAATGACTAACAATCCCATCAAAATGACCTTGAAGCAAATTATAAAGAGAGAAGATTTGGATCCAATGCTGTACATTGCTCCTCATCTCACAGAAAGATCAAAAACACACACAAATAAATCAACATGTACATTATACCTCAGAGACTGCTTCTATTCAGCATTATGCATACTATAAAAGCCCATCCACAGCATGCAAACAGAGGCTAACATAAGGTTTGTAATATAAAAACATTTAGCATTCAGGTCCCTAGGCAATTGATTTAGCTTTTGTTTGTTTTTTCTTATAAAAAGTGCTGCAAGGTTGCTTAGCTGTCATCAGCACATTATCCTGCTGCTCCATTTTGGATATGATTTATAATTTTGTGTTCGCCTTGACTGAAAAATGAAAACGTATCTGCAGACAGTCTGGCTGTGGTGTTTTTTTGGACAGGGTTATTAGAGGAGAATGGAGAGGGGACGAGAGGAAGGGGAGGGGGGGCTTTGGAGGATTTGAGATAAGTGCCGTCTCTTTCTATTCATTACCATATTGGCATTAATGCTCAACTGCCCTGCAGAACCAGTGTGTGTGTGAACACTATGTATGAGAAAGTAACGGGCAATCCAGTGTGAGAAAAAAAAAAAAAAAGTAGTGTTTGCATATATGTGTGTTCATACCAAAAGATGTGCCTTCATCCCCTATGGAAGCCCCATCTAATTGCCCTTTTGTAGTACTAAATAGACTTAAGATCCCTGTGTGACTAAATCTATCTTTGTTCTTTCTTAAATGCTCACTGGTTAAAAAAAAAAAAAAAAAAAATCGGCTTTTTTTTTTTTTTGCAGAATATTTCCTTCTAATTAGAGAGGCACTGTAACAGCCCAACTTGCGCTAAATACTGTTAATCGGGGCTGAGACGCACCCCTCTTGTGGAACAGTGGGTGGTGCATTACTGGAGAAGAGCTCCAAAAATCCCAGCCCTTGTGGAGTTCCAACAATAATTAATGTTTCAAAAATTCCCAAAAATTATGTCGAGGGATTTAGCCCAGTAGCAGCAAAGACTGGCAGAGGGACAGTATGAAGGATGAGGTTGAAAGGGTCAAAGTCTCTAAGGGGTTGTTTTTTTAATTAGCTCACATCTCTCTTGTTGAGGATAAAATGAAGATAAAAAATGGATAAAAGAAATGTAAGAGCTTCTGGGATTTAAGCAAATTTTCCAAATTAGAGCCATCAATTAATAGCATGTTCTGGCACTAAATGGTCATTATATGACTGGTTAGCAATTGAACATAAAAAATGTACATAAAGTAGGGTTTTAATTTTACTTAAAACAAAAAAAATAAAAAAATAATTTTACAGATCTGCTGCTCCGAATTAATTTAATGTACCTAAATCTAAGACAGTGCAGTCAAACGTTGCCTTTATAGTATACAGAATTGATCAAATCTGTTGGCACCACTGGAAAAGATGTGGAAAAAATAAATCATATAAACCAGATATTCATCGCCCATATTTTTAAACTTGTATTAAATAATTCAGCAAAAAATTTTACTACAGAACAATTAGAAATGGAAACAAAACAAAACATATATATACTAAGTTCCTACCCTAACAATGGTATGTAAATAGCATATGCTAATTTCTCATCCTCTCTTCAAATAGGAAAATATATTTTTTTAATCAAGGCAAATCTCTTTAGAAATCTTTATAACTATAAAGATCAAAACCTGAAGTCTCCGATAGTTAAAGTCAGAAACCGGATTTTAAAATTATTACAGTATGCCACTTCTACATTTAAAGGTCTGCATATTTCAGGGCTTTTAACACATCTATCGCAATGTGATGCATGTATAACAGTAATGAATTTCTGGTTGTTCAAAAACATTTTTTTTTACTTGGGTAGCTAAAGCATTTAACTAATTAAATCTACTAATAATTAAAAATGTAAAGTAATTTTTATCATTCAGAACAGACTGAAGTAACCGCATTTCATTTTTCAGAGCCCTAATTCATACCGAGCCATGAAATATGATTACAGAGGAACTTAAATCTAATGTTTAAACAACAGGACCAGTGTAATGACAAAATATTCACTGCTTTTCAATTTTTAATTAATTTGGCATAATGTTTACATTACAAAGGCCTAGCCACTCAGTGACTCATGGCCTTAGCACTCTAAAAGGGATTTTTTTTTTAGCAGGGAGTTTATTGTTGGATAACATCAAAGCTCTTTGTGGTTTATGATAACAAACTGTGTATTAATCAGGCTTAGCCAATCACTGACTGATTATCTTACTGCCTTATAAATGATTTTTATAGATGGGAATCTGTTAGGTTTAAGCTCAGTTTGGTTTGCTTTTGAAAATATGATTTCTTATTTAAAAAATGCTTTTCAGTGCTGAATAAGTGTGGGAAAAAAAACAAAGATTACTATTATAAAACTATTACAAAATTTTTGTACATTTTTAAGATTTTATGAGTACCTTTCATGTCATTTGCGCATAAACATGTGGGGTGCACAGATCAGTCCACCAGCTCATTGATCTATTTTGATTTTCTTTAATTTGGAAGATTTGGGATTAGCTGATACTTGACCAATGAAAGTCTGAAAATCCACCACTGTCAGTGCTATAAACTTTGATTCACAACTGAAGTTTTTTCTTGTTTTTTCGTGTTTCACAGGTACTGTTGAATGTTTCCCAGTAAGTTAAGATTGAAATATCAAAGATGTGTTTTGATCTTATAACAGCTGACAGTGTAATTTCTTTAAAAAATCGGTCAAAATCGGAATTGGAATGTAAGGCTTTGTACATAAAGATCAGTAATCACTAATAGACCAGAAACGTGCAAACTGCACACCCCTATTAAACATACATGATCATGCACGTTGCCAGAAACACAGAAAGCCAAATGCACAAACAATTCACAGAACTTTTAATACAAGCAGCGGTGTACGAGCAAGGAGGGAGAAGCAGGCAGGCAGAGTACAAAGACATGGAAAAGTAGAGAATACTTACCAATCGGAATGACTATTCCCAAAACAGCAACTGTGATGTTGTTCCCTATGAGGTAGTGATCACTTGCAGCTGGATACGGGAGAAGAATAAAAAAAGAAAGATCAGCAGGAGGTGTTGCTCAACACCCATCCACAACCATTTCTTAAAGAATAATTATAGTTTATTTTGACAGAAGGGTATTCTGCAAGAAAAGCATATTTGTATGATAACAAAGCAGGCAGCCCATCTTTGGACTGTTTTTGTTGTTTAAACAGTAAGTGCAAATAAAGTGTGGATGTTTCATGCCAGGATACAATAAAAATGCAATGAGTTTGTTTTTTTTTAATACAAAAAAAACGTTAAAGCAGTGCAAAAAAGCAATGCACCAGAAAGTTTATGAATGCAGCTACAAAATAAATGAAGAGAACCAAGTCATTTATAACAGCTTTCAGCCATGTTAGGAAGCTTCAGATGACCTTAAGCATATATTTATTAAACCCTTTTTAAGGGAGCATAACTTCTCCGCTGATCCTCATTGAGATGTTTCTGCAACGTCAATGGAGTTAATCGGTGGTAAATTCAGTTGACCAACAATGGTTAGAAAAGCCAAATCTATCTATATAAGGTCTGATAGTGCATTTCAGAGCGCAGACCCTAGCATGAAGTCAAATTAGTCTTCTGTAAACCTCAGAGACAGATTTGTCTTGAGGCACAAATCTGGTGAAGGATAGAGAAATATTTCTACTGCTTTGAAGGTCTCATCGACTAAAATGGCCTCCTTCCTGCCAAGAGCATGCGGGCTGTCTAAACTGACTGTCTTAGCGAGATGGACCTTAGAGAAGGGACCAATAACCCCATGGTCATTCTGTCACAGCTTCAGTGTCCCTCTGTGGACAGAGAAGATCCTTCCAGAGGCACAACCATCTCTGCAACAATCCACCAATCAGGGTTGTATTGTACATTGGTCGGATGAAAGCCTCTCCTTTAGGAAATCATAACTATCCCTACAGTGAATACAGAGATGTACAAAAGTATACTGCATGAAAATCTGTTCTAGAGTAGTCTCGACTAAGACTGGTGCGACTAAGAATGGTCATCCAAACAATAAAAGCCAACACTGGCTTCAAAACTTCTCAGTAAATGTCCTGAAGTGGCTAAACCAAAGTCCAGATGTGAATCGCTTTTATCGTTTAAGGAAAATTCTGAAAATGGCCGTACATGGATCTCCTATCTCCTATCTCCCATCCTAAATGACTGAATTTAAAATGTACTGCAGGGAAAAAATTGGCAAAACTACCTAAAGTTAAGAGAGCTAAACTTGTGGCATGTTATTTAAAAAGACTTCAGGCTGTAATTACAGCCAAGTGGCTTAATAAAGTAATAAAATTACCTCTATAACATCAAAAGTAACCCAAGTAGGTATTAAAGAGATTTGAGAGTCAAGGATAATCAAACTTAAAGTGAAAATCCCTAAAACCAATCTAAGCAAATCTTTCATAAAATCAAGAAATAAAATAATTATTTATAAATTAAATAACGATAGATTAAGCAATACAATGCTAAAGCAATACTTTGAATATGAAGGCACATCTTTAAAGGCCTAAAATTCAGACTTTTTATAATTCCTGCAAAAAGTTTTTTCTGAGGAAGAAGCCATCAGCTCAGGGCTAAGCAACCAATAAAAAGAGATAATGGGAGAGCTAGACCATATCATAGTGCCTAAACTGAATTCCTAATCATTTTAAATCAAGCACATCATTATACTAGAAATGTCTATTTTTCATAAATGTTAACAAGCTCTAACTTTACTCATATCTATCTCACATCTAAACAGTCGGTCAGGGCCTTCAAAGCCTTTACTGCTGGCCTAAAATCAATACGGAACACTTACCAACATTCAAAACCTAAACTTTAATTTCCTTCTATCAAACTGTATTCATTCATTCCAAACAATCCATTCTCTTAATTTTGTAGCACTTCTCTTGGCTGTGCTGCTTCTATTACATTTATGTGGCTGCTATATTTTTTTGTGCAATCAGATTTCAGACTTAATTCCTTGCTATATCAATCAAATTTGCCCAGGGCCTTCAGAATCAGTAGTGCTGGCTGTTGACACCTTCATAATATTAGTGAGGAATGTTTTCTTCAATCAATTAAATGTAGCGGGCCCACTGCAAACGTCAGCATTTTCTGTCCTCTGATTGGTCAGTTAGAGCAAAACCTTTACAGCTAAGTTAAGGTAGCACAAATCTGCATTTTAGATTTACTTTTATTAAAAGTTTTTTTGGGCCTCAATTGCAGATACTTCATGGTGATACTGATACTTCTGCACAAAGACAGAAGGGTGGATTGTTTTTATAAATAATCAGCATCTCTGGTCAGTGTGATATATATTTTATTTTCATGCTTTATGCTCTATTTTATTTGGTAATTACATGCATAATATTAAACCCGAACAGCTCCTGGTGCTGAAAATGTGGTGGAGCTGTGGTTATAGAGTAGAGGATTGCCTTTGTCCTAACTGGGCTTCTTGCCTTATTGTTCTCTGTATTCACCCTCACACTAATCTTCCTCTCTGTTATACCCACGCTTGTTACATTTCATATTTGAATACAATAATATATAAATATAAAAGTGGTGATATTAACCCCTTGTTGAAAGCAAAAAACCCTTTGTATTACCAAGATAACATGCTCTTACGTTGGTTAAGATTAAGTTGAAGGGTGGCCAGTGAAGGCCTAAGTACCAGTTGCACCGCCCTTCACTGCATCTAAAGCTTTTCAAAAATTGCACTGAATAAAAGAGAGATTTACATTTTCAGTTAGACACGGTCAATAATCTCTTAAAAATAAAAATGATACAATTAATTTGGAATTTAATATTAACTGTCTGAATAACTACTTTAGCATAAGGATCTCAGAATCCTCTTGGACGTTTCATTTTAATATGGCAGGCGACCCACTGTGGAAGCTCAGAGCTGTTCTCACTAGACCTATGGTTCTATTGAACCATGTCAAACTGGCCTTATGAAAAGCAGTTAAAGAAAGATAGTTTACATCAGAGGAGGGCAGGCTGTCCTCTATACAGAAACATCTGTTCATTTCAGGCACGTTCTCCGACATCTCAATAAAAGCACTTGAACATGCATGAATAAAAAGGACGTATAAACACCAGTTTTGAAAGTAACTTTTTAAAACTTTGATATATGAATAGTTGATGCCAAATTCTAAACATGCTTTTGAGTCTCCACTTACCATCAGCTCTTAACCCATATGGTTCTTACAGGAGCTTAGGTACTAACCCCTCTCTAAATCTGACTATTAACAGCAGGCTCACGTTTTGCCAAAGTCTGATCAGATGGCTAGAGTAAAGTCAAGTGAGGAAGATTAGCAGAACAGATCACACTGCTTGCTCAGCATACTGATTGGCTCATTCTAGAAAGAAGCCATGACGTTCTGTGCATAAAAAAAGGCACCAACGACAGCTTACATATGAAAAACATTACTTTATCTAATGCAATTAATACATAAATAAAAAAAGTCACATATTTAAACATGTGAATAGACTATTCTAGACAGCACTCCAATACCAGCAAATTCTGAGTCAGAGGATAGGATCTAGTCTTTTGCTAAAGTATGACGATGTCCAATGGATCTAAATTTCCATAAGATGGATTGAAAAAATCTTATTAAATAAACAAGCTGTTATAGAAGGCAGAGGCCTGGGTAGCAGGCAGTAACAGAAAGAGTAATGCTTCACTACCATTGAGACTATAAATGATGGACTGTAAATAACAAATAAAACTTCCTATTGATATGTTTACACATTAAAATATATAGAAGAAAAATCCAGTGTACTGTATAAAGTTTCTTTAAAAAACAGATCGGTAAGAGTCATTTGGAGATGAGAACAATAACAGGTGGTTAGATTTACAATTGAGCTTTTACAAGAGTTTTCACATTATGTAAGTTTTTACTGAATAATGTCTTCAAACTAGCCTTTTTATATGACCCTTTACAACAAAAACATAATTTGTTCAGATCAATACCTTAGTAGTTAATGCAGTTGCCTTTTAAAACCTCTAGTCTATTTTCCTTAATTTACTTCGGGTCAGAAGTTACTGCGTTTTTGTGGATGTGACGTCATTGTAAATAGGTCTGACCTAGTAAACAATCAAAGCAATATATTGCAAAGGAATTTTGTGGATGCTCAGAAGTGACCTGCATCCAGCTAAACTCAGACACCAATGGCAACTCCAGGTAAGGTTAAGTTAAGGACAAGTGACAGACGAGAATTAGCAGTAGAGTGCTGCAGGTCTATTTTTTGGCCACAGGTGGCTGTATAATTAGAAAACTCCGTAAAGCCTCTTTAAGGACAGGACTTTAAGGTATAGTGGAGGATGTTTATTTTCCAGGTGGATCATCAAAATAAGTGGTCCTCCTAATTGTCAATCATTCTGGTGATATGTTTAAATAAGGATGTCCTACGTGCTCGTCCTCATCTTCAATTAGCGGTGGTGAGTCTGACAAAGTGGAAAAATTGCAAATCTTCTTTTGGAAAGTAAGCTTGTATGAACGATGCAAACAGCAACTTTTAAACAGAGCAAGCAAAAGAAGAAATAGGCTCCTGCATGCTCTTGCGTGTGTTTAATCGACGTTTACTCTGGGGAGCGGGTACAGGGGTGTGCGTGTGCATTTCTTTTTTTTTAGGTGGAATAAAAAAGGTTTATCGTGAAAATCCACTATACCTTTAACAAAACAACTAATACCTGTTTTCGTTTTCACTTGGTAACAAATCTAGCTAAAAGATGACCTACTACAAGATAAAGGTGGAGGGTTCAAATCTAAGACTTTTATGATGTCTTTTCCTAAACCTCTGGCTTTTCCACACCTGTCCCAGAGTGGTACATGTAAACCAGCTGATGCAGACAGACTTGACAGTGCTCACCGACTTGAAAATTGTAACTCATGGGTTTCCAGACACATGTTTTTCGTGCCCCATTTTTTTTTAGTGCGTGTCTTACGTGTTGCATTTGTGGAGCAGAGAGAAAGCTGACAGCTTCAGAGACTTGGAGACAAACACTGCCTTGCGTCTTTGGGCCTCTTGAAAAGCAAAGCCCCTAAAGTGATGCAGCTGGCTTACTTTCAAATTCCTAGGAAATCACTTCCACCCTTAACTTTTTTCCATCCCATCAGTTCTTATCTCTGTAGCTGTATGTTTTTTTTCTTTCAGTCACACCAACCAATGTTTTATATATCTGTGGTCTCGTTCCTTTTCAATTTGGTTTATTCATTAATATCATTTATGGACAATCTGTGCTTTTAGTTAAATATTCAGCTCAGAATATCAAGTAATCAAGAGTTTAAAAAAGACATAGAAAATAAGATACTTTATTAAAATCCATTGATGTCCTTGTTCCCTTTATGTTTTATCCCTTTGCTAAAGGCCACAGGCAGCTGTTATGACATAGACAGACCTTATTTTTAGTGCATTTTTTCTAAGTGCTCAATCTCTTTTCAGTTATAGCCAAGATCCTTTTCTCCTTGGCCACACCTGAAAGTGTCTACAAGTAACTTTCAGTTTTTTATTTGAATCAGAGAGAAAAATGAGATTTATGAACTGCATGTTAAACTTGAGGCATAAGTTAAAAAAAGTTAAAATCTGTGAAAAGCTATTCATGAAAAACTGATTTTTTTTTCTCATAATAATGACTCTCTTTGACTTCATGCAAAACTAATATTATCTAATCTAGTTGAAGAATTTTGAGACGTCTTGTAGCTGAATTGCAGAGGGTAAATAAATGGCAGCAACTTTAACTAAAGAAAATGCTTTATACTGTTAAAACTGGAAATGTAATGATCAATAAAGTGCATGTTCGGCTACCAAAATGGAGTATTTATGACCTTATATGAGTTCACACAAGGTTTGTGGTGCATACAATAAATGTTATGTTTCATTTCAGCCAATAACACCTGTTTTTAGATATAATTTGTTATTTGACAAGATAAGAAACAGTGTGAGAGCAGCAACAGGTACCTTGACTGTACTGTCCTTGACTTTTGCAGTGGTGGCATATATAAAAAGGAGTCATTCTGCTGGCTGATTGAAATCTAAAATTATTTTCATTATTTACTTTTGCAAGTTGCCTTGATGGTAAGGAGCTTGAGATCTTTATGCTTTGAAGGACTCTATTCCTTAGATTCCTCCAACACCTCTATAGGATTCACATCACATCTCCAATACATTAATACTTTAGCAATGAAGAAACATGTTAGTAAAATGAAAAGACTGCTTTAAAGCCTAATCTATCAATGGTATGAAAAACTTAGGCTTAGATGTATGTGCCATTTTAAAAGGTTGCCGTTTTATTGCTATGGATTTTTTTTTACTTGACCAATAAATCAGCAGTAGCCTGGTACTGCTGGAGACAATGCAATACATACAACAGAGTGCTATATGTTTATGTTAAGAGGCACAGACAGCTTAAAATGTTTTTTTGCCTCATATTTTTTATTTTTTTTTGACTGTAGAACTGAGGCACATCTGTCCACTGGTGTCTGGAAAGGTTACTGTATCAAAACGAAATTATCCACTTTAATTATCCATTTTAAAACAACCAAACAGATTTAGTTGTATAAATTTTGGTTTGGATTTGGTTTTGGAACTGATGTGGATGAGTAACAATCCTCTGAATAGATAAGGTTATCAATTAGAAATCAATATAAATGATGCTCCAAACATCCCACATAAATGTGATGTTTTCTTCCACATCAATGTCCTTTAGTGTGTGCAAGTATTGCTAATAAGCATAAATATATATATCCATCTCTCCATTTATCCATACATATCTATATCTATCTTTCTTTTTTTCAGAAAAATATCCCCAATCAAAATTCTTAAATAAATTTTTGTCTGCCTCGCAGAAATGTGCTGAAAGGTATTCTAGTTTATTTTAAGATGTCATGCTCCATTGAAATCCCGTCTGAATACAAATCGTTTGCTTCTACAGTCGAAGAATACAGAACTTGAGAACAAGAAATAGGTCTTTTGAAAACTTGACACTGAGAAAAACTTATGATGTGAAGTCAGACATGATGACACATGATCTACAGCACAGTAGACCCTCACTTTAACTTTGCATTAACAATGTTTAGTTTCTGCATCCAAATTCAAGTATTATATCTTCATTACTTTGTAAACACTTAATAATGGTGTTTAAACCTATTGTCTCCAAATCCAGTTAATGCTCTCTGTTGTCCGTATGAAAAACATGTCAAGTCTTCATGATAGAAAGACAGAAACAGAAAGAGGAAGAGTCACAAAGTAAGGAAGAGTGATGAGCAGTGACTGTTTAAATTCCAGCCAACTATCGTTTGTTAGCTCTGACACCTCTGTCAGACTGGTGACAAGGGAATAGGAATAAAAAGGCTAAGGCATTTACTTGAGAGGGTTTTTGCTGTGAATAAGTGAGAAAAAAGAGAACAAGAAGAGGTCACACAGCAGATAGACAGATGGTCAGAAGGAGAGATGAAGGAGAAGGAAAGGCGGTTGATGGGAATATTGGTTTTTAGCTTCCTGCTGCCATAATGGCAGGTGGTAATAATAGCGTGGCTTCACACACACACTGTGCTTTCACTTCAAAGATAGTCCAGCTCACCATCATACATACCTCTGTGGGAAAGGTTAGCATTGGTCTCTCTTTGAATGCTGTCTGGGGCCACTGGTCCTAGTAAGGGTGTGTGTGGGGACGTCTGAATGTTGCTGCTCAAACTGGTTGTTTCTGTGCTTGTGGCAGCTTGTGTCACAGATGGCTCTGTACTCCTGCTGTTACTGGGGGTCTGAGAAGTTGTTGCTGTCATGTAATGCCTGACTGTGGACCTTGGTGGGGGGGCAGCAGAGGTGGAAGTTTCAATGGTTGTGGGAGTTGTGGTGGTGGTGCTGGTAGCTGGGGTGGTAGTGGTTGTTGTGGTGGTTGTTGTTGTAGTTGTTGTGGTGGTTGGGGCAGCAGTGGTGGTTGTCCTGATTCGAACTGGAAATAAAACAAAACAAAAGACAATAAGGAGTACTTTTTACTTTAGACTGCGAAAGGATTTGGATTCTCTTTTTTTTATTAAAAATAAAAAAATAAATAAATTAAACAGTTCTATTAAACACCAAGACACATATGAAAAGAAACAAAAACATCAATATTCTGAGAGTATCTGTTTGTAAGGGAACCAGTATTGCATGCTATTCAGCCTATTTTCTTTGACTATTTTACATTTTAAATTTAGAAAGCGCAAGTGTTGCTTGAACAAGATTCTTTCATTGGCGAGGGGAAGTTCTCAGAGTAATGCATAAAGGGGAAACACATCTTTACATATTCATAGAACTCATTATAGTACATATAGTCATTTATAACAAAATCATTGATACTAAGCAGAGAATAATTTTACCTTAGAACTGCGTGACTAAACCTCCATGTTTGCTCTCAAAGAGAGTGGACAAAGAGTGGGCCCCAAGCAATGCCCTGTCGCTCCTATAGTATCTACATATCTTGCTTATCTATGATAGAATAGAAAGCTTACTCAGCATTGAGAGCTTGGCTCTCCTCAAAGCCGAAATCTGCAGATTCCTGCACCCAAAATTAACATTTAACAACATAGTCTCCAAACCATCTAACATAAAGCATACATAAAGAACACAGTTAATATTTAACCACATCTATCTCTAACAGTGTAATAATTAGTAATTGGTCTTGATTTAATTTTACTGAAAATAAAGTATGTATTGCTGGCCTTTGCTATATTTATAGGGCTAGTAAAACTAAAATTAAAAGGCTCATGAGGCAACTGAGCCTTTTATGAAGAAACCTTTATGTAAATATTATCCTTTGTACTTCAGACTTACAATTCAAGCTAGCAGGTAACAAAGAACTTTAGGGTCAAATATTTTAATTTTAGACTTTTCAAACCACAGAATAATTCCAAAAGATTATTTTTCTTAACCTAAGCATTCAGAGATCCTAAGCTGGCTTATTATATTGGAGAACCATCTTTTTACTCTCCGAATGTCATTTCAGCCCATGTCAGCACAAGACTCATTTTATTATGTATAATGACACTTTTAGCAGCCTTACCCAGCATATTCGCCCAATTTTGTTCTAAACCTGTTAAATACATTTTGCACCAACTTTTAGCCAAAGATAAGGTATGTGGAGATCCACATTTCTACCGTAATACTGACATTTTGCCTGTTTTCCTGGTTTTCCATTATGGTGCTGCCTTAAAAAAACTCAACAAGTACAGCTCAATTTAAAATGTCATATACTATTAGATTCTTACAAAAGCCATTGTTTTATAATTTAGCTGTTTCTACAGCTTAAACAAATATTTGCTTTAGCAAGTGCCGATTATTTAAGCAAAGGATGTTTAAGCTTGTAATGTAAAGCAAATAAATCTATTTTACTACTTGGTAAGTTTGCAGTCAGTCATAGAAGCAAATTTCTCTTACTGGCTGCTACTTTTTGTTGTCAAAATAAATAAACAGTTAAACATTTCTTACACTAAGTTGGAGATAATTTTGGCTTTTAATTGATTTTTTTTTTCTCCACAGACTCTTTCTTTCCAGCTATGCTTAGAGCTGCAGATTTGATTACATTTAGATGTATGTTAGATTTTATGAGCTTTGAGAAAACCAGATTTAATTTTTTATTGCATTTGTTTGCTGTTGAGAAGTTTTTAATCCAATTACGTACAAAACCTGAATTTGCAAATTTCAGGTCCAACGCTGTTATACCATTACATTTTGCAAATAAATCTCTAGTACTGTATTTTGTTAATCTTCACATTTAAAAGGTATTTTAAAGGTCAGAGATTTCCAAACTTTGAAAGATTACAAAAATACATAATTAACCCCCCCACTCGTCCCGAAAACTAACAAACAACAAAAGCTGCATCATTTAACATAAAGTCATAAAGCCTTTGTCTGATCACCTTTTCTGCATATGCTCTAATGTGTTTGGTACTTTTAGGTAATTTTACTGCTTCAAGCTGTAGACATTTAAAGCAGCCGAGAAGAGGTGTTGAAATTTAGTTTTACTCCATAAAAAGTGACAGCTCAGCAGCAGTTCTTGTATTTTAAAAAGAAATCTAAAGCTTCCAGTCCGTGTGCATTCAGTGCTCAACCATCCCCCCGTCCCCTCCCAGAGCAACACTGAATGATGGCCCACATACATCATAATCATCTCATTCTCCCTTTTCCCTGAGTCAGCTGCCTGTGCCTCACCTGCTAAAGTGTGCTGTGTGAAAACAGAGCGGCTCTATTAAGGATAGCAACCCCACAAATGTTGCGACTCCATAGAGTCAGTGGACGAACCGAGCTGCGAAATAGGGTCAGTGAAATAATGGAGTTGTCTTGGGGACACACAAGAAGAATCTCTGACCCATTTACCGGAATAGTTTCCTCTTTTTTGGAGACGACTGCATTTAATTTCAATACAATCAACGCAAACAATTTGGGTGCATCACACAGCATAGAGGCAGCATAAGGCAAACTGCATTTGAATAGGCCAACTTGTCATTAGGATATTTTTATGTCAGTAAACATAAAAGTTTAACTGTTAAACCAGCTGCTTTCCATTTAACAGCTGGGACTTTACTTTCAGCTATCACTGAAATGACATAAATAAAACCCTAAGAGAACCTTACATGCAAAAGATGAACATGCTTTTATAGATACAATTAAGACTTTGCTTTAAAGTTATCGTTGTGTGTATGAGAACCTTCCTTAGCAGCTTAATAGCTGTTTGAACAGACACTCCATCACCATATGTGATATGTTATTACAGCAGTGCCCGTCTCCAGTGACATTATCTTGTACAGTTCCTTCTATTACGCGGTTCTCTGGACGGTATGATTCATTGGGTTGAGGGGACATACCTACAACACAGCGTCTCATGTCTGGACCGAGCTCCATACCATCGGGACAGGCGCAGGTGTACTTTGGAGAGTGGTCTGTGATCTGAGGAGCCTTTAGACAGAGATACTCACAGCCCCCGTTTGGTAAAGTTCCCATATTGCAGGTGTCAGGGGCTTAGGAGACAAAAAAAAAAAAAAAAGTATAATAAAATATTATAACCAACTTAAAATTACTGTTACAACATATATAAGTTTGTTATTGTGCTTCACTGGATGGAAGGTCAGGAATTCCAGAAGCCTTCATACATCTAAATATTTAGATGATCCAACAATGAAAAACATATGAGCCATAGATGATACACATATTTAAAAGTTTAACTCTGAACAAAGCTTTAAGATATCTTTAACAGTGGGAGATCTGCGTCCATAATTCCTTTATTTACACAGCAGTTAATCAGCATAATTAATCAGAGCATTGAAAAACAATTAATACCTCTGGACTCTGTTTTTTCTGCTGCAATTATTATTTTTTTTGTTAATTCTTTGCAAAATATTTCAGTCTCAGTATGAATATAGAGCATCTGCCAAAAGTGTGTAAATTCTTGACTCATTATTAAAAGTGTGGACTTCAACTTCTAACACATCAATATATTATAATCTAAACCAATTGTTGTAGTTCTGGTTGTAATCTAAGATTTGATAACATGCTAAAAAAATTAAATAAATATATTCCATCATTCATCTGACACCCTTGTCCCAATTGGGGTCGCAAGGGGTGCTGGTGTCTATATCGCCAGCTGTCTACGGGCGAGGCGTTGCCATTGAGAAGCAATAAATATATAATTTTTTCCAATTCACAATTCTGTCCTGTTTTTTTTTAAGCAATCACAGAAAAAAAAAAAATGTTCTAAGGTTTGTGGCTTTAAGGTAACAAAATATGAAAGGAGTTCAAATATTCATATTAGTTACGGTATAAAGGGCACTGTGAAAGTGCTCATTTGCAGGCAAAAGCTCAAAGACCGTTTTAAATATTCTACACAACCATAAAATATTTAAATGGAGTCTTTTAGACCTCAATGCAGACTCATGGAATTTTTTTATGATTTGCTGGTTGTGTGGTAAAGCCCCTGAAATAGGTCAGGTTGCACTTGTCTTAACCTTTAATTTCCTGTTTCTTTCTTGTTATATAGATCTGGAGTTCTTAGGGAATAATCAAGATCAGTGCCACTCACTGCTCAAGTTTTGACACATAGGAAGCATATTTATGCTCAGTTTTCAGGATCAATACTGAAAGGATACAAGGTTGCGTGATTTTCACAAATATTGGCAAGCTTTCAGTGAGAAAACATACCACATTAATACCTAACTGCATTTATAGAGAAATCAGTGACACTCATTCAAATTAAGAGGTCTTTCATGTAAAACAGCTTTTGAGTTTATAAGTGTCAGGGTATTTTGATCATTGTCTATGAGTTTCTGTTTTCCTTGGGATAAAATAATGTGAAAGAGGCTCACGTCTCTTTACATGGTAAAGATTGCAGAGCCAACCTATAACCCATAATGGGTGTCTTCACTTGTACATCAAGATAAGAAATTAATTTAGCATCTTAAAGAAAAAAATTAAATTTTCTAATATCTATAGTCTGAGCAAAAAAAAAAAAAAACTACAAAAAACAGCAAACTTAAAACGCCGGGAACCGTCACAAGCCTGGACATAATTTTTTTCTTTCTTGTGCACATAGAGACGTGCACAGTAACAGAGCCTAAACCAAATCTCCAAAGAACACAGCTTTATTGTTATATAATACTTCTGTCACAAGGAGTTGAAGGGATTTTTTGTCATCATTTCTAGGGATGCCACTAAAATGAACCCTGGATCTTCTCACCCTGTCCTCCATGTCAGTAGATTTTCTTCCTCTATTTTCTGTGAAATAAATGAAAAAAATCTACGCCTGTGTTAAGAAAAAATACAAGAACAAACAAGCAAAAAAAAAAGAAGCTGTTTTTGAAAAGTGTTTTTTTTTTTTAGACAGCAGATATTTAATTAAAATAAGTAGCTCTAGTAGCCGTTGTTTGAATTTGACAGTTCTCTGAAGTGTCTTTTGTCGTTTTTAAAAACAAAGGAACTTGACTGAATTGGTTATGCTCTATGTTTTATTTGATTTTTTTTTGTCTTCGAAGATAAACATTGTTCAAATGTTTCTTGTAAATAAAATTTAATGGAATAAGAAAAATTAAGACTATAACAACCGACCAATTACACGCTTGTAAACACGCTGCAGTTCATTAAATAAGAGGAGACCTTCCAGAAAAATACCAGTTATAAAGGGGAAGCCTATTAGAAAAAAATATAAAAAAAGGAAGTAGTTAGGGAAAAT